AAGTTCGTGGCATTTAGGACGATTTTGGCACCTATAATTGGGGGGCAAACTTGAAGAAGAGTACACTAGTACGGTCAGCGGATCCTACCAATCTACTCTACTTCAAGTCTGGGCCCCAATGGTAGGCGCTAAAGTCGTTTAAGTCGCCACAAATTTCGCCGCGCGATTTGTAGCGTCCATCCAGTTCTGGGTGAATGTACCCATACCCGTGCAGCCTCTACAATTCCGTTGATATTCGCCCGCGCATACGGGGACGATACATGAGCCTTTAAAACGTCCTATCTGAGTCGTTTTCCGACGTGACAGCGCCACATATGATTGAGGGAGCCACAGATTTGTTCTATGGGTGCCATGTGTGTTAACAAAGCATCAAGATCGCGAAATCCCATATACTAGTGTCCGGTCCACCTGATTTTTCATTCTAATCGTGAAGGATGCCATGATCCTGAGCGTACGACTTCCCTCTGCCTCTGCGGATACAGGGAAACTTCGAGTAATAACTCTCTCATGAAAATCGGTACTGACCGCCTGCCCAATAGAGCCCAAAGCTGTGTAGCTTTGGACTCTACTGGACAGGCGGTCAGTACCAATTCCATGAGGGAGTCATGTTCAAGGTTTCCCGGTGCGGCTGAAGGAGACCTTCTTTATGTCGATGAAAGTTAGATGTAGGAGTAGTCTGTATTCTCGCGATACTTCAGTGAGTCTTGCGACAGTATGGATGTGATCGATTGAACTGGAGCCTCGCCGGAACCTTGCTTGCCCTCGCCTTTCATCCGATATTCTGTCAATCCTGTTGAGGATGACCCATGTGAAAAGCTTAGATTAGAGACAGCAGGTCATTTGGGAGATAGTTGTCAGTAGTTTTAGGCCCCTCTTCTTCTCCAGCAGCACCATCTCGCTAGTTTTCAACAAAGTGGGTAATTTGAATCGTAGCAGGCTCGTGAAGACTCGATCGTATAAGATTTGACGACTTTTGGTACGAGGCTCTTGAAAAGTTCTGGTTTAACCTGTGACGAACGGGTGCTATAAAATTTTTCGTCCATGTGATGGCATGTGGGATTTCCTGAGAGTGAACTAATGAGGCAACGTACCTACCCTGTCTGGAGCCATGGCTAGTCCTTACACTTCTGACAGAACAGGTTACATCATTCCCTGTGAGTTACATCAATGCCTTCTTTGCTTACTCAGGTTGCATCCCAATGAGCCAACATTATTTCCTGACTCACTACTCTTGAGAATCACTTGCTCATCACCAAACATAATGATTCTAGCTTGCCCACCAGGGTCTGCATGAAATTGATAAAATGTTTATTCTTGTTGCTCTCGTCAAAATTCCCACGCCTTAGAATACAGATGAATCGATCCATTCTTTTTCAAAGGATCCTGTTTGTGAACTTCCATCACTGCTACGTGTGCTCAGCAGTGTCACAGGCATGGCTGTTGAAGACGACAATTACGACTATCTTTTCAAGGGTGAGTATTCTTGGTAATTTGTTTTTTCTCCTTCGAGATATGTTGATTGGGCAGTGTTTGCATGAATTCCAATTCGAACTGATTCCGCAGCACAGCGACACCCGCCCACTTTTCGATGATTATTCGATCAACTGGGGACTATGGATGAGAATTTTCACTTCGCCACGATTATGGCTTCCTATGATTGGAGATGAGCTTGGAGGGACAGGGATGGATAATTATTTACCCTAATTGGAAAAATTTTGAGGAATAAAGTTACGGATGAATCAGCTCTATCATGGATACGTGCGAAATGTTTCGTTGTAGATACATCACCAAGCGACATGGCGAGGGGCTGTACGCAGCTCAGGGTAAATTCTGACCAATTTGAGGAAGAAGGGGACAAAAGAGTTGAAAAGAAAAGGCTCCTTAGAGAAAAGCTCCGATATAGAAGACATTATCAATATCACACACACGGTCATGGTTTCGAATCCCCCGATCGATGCCAACCTGGGCCAACCGAGCCCTCCATCCCTCCGAGGTCGGTGAATTGGTTCCAGATTCGTCTGGGAGGATAAAAGCACTGACTTTTACATCGGCTGGCCACCGCAAGTCATTGTATAGGCCACGTATTTAGTCATTACGCCACTACGATTCTGAATGGAAGTCGAATGCGGGGGAGCATCCATCAGACGGGATTGATTAACGCCAAAAACTTTATCCTTTATCCTTTTAAAGTCGACATCATAAGTCTTGGTAAGTGTTGAATCCGCAACTCTTTTTGGAGATTTTCTGAGGTCACCAATAAACCTTCACGTCTCTGAGCCTAGAAAACATCACTTCCAAGAAAACTCATTACCTATTCTTGACGTCAAACCATTTTTTTGTTGTTTAGTTGTTTCGTTTATGACCAAAGATTACGACCAAAGATGATGGAACCGATAAATGTTGTACAGCGCCCCGGTCCCAACAGGATAACACCAAAGTGACAATATCGTAGAAAACTAGTAAGGTTTTTTGGCATTGATGAAAGACTTTTAACTTTCATCTATTCGTACAGTTTGGTTACGTTTACCTTTACTATCAGACCCAAAAGGGTTTTTATATGATTTAGTCCTTGAAGAGCATGCTTGAGAACTGCGATACTTTTCCTTGCAATCGAACCAATAGCCAATCTAAGTTAATTTTAGTACTGCTCTAGACCACCGACAAGGGAGGAGGAGAATGGGGCAAAAATCAAGAAGCATAACGTTTGGCCTAGGTTTGTCCATGCGTTGAAAGGCTATCCATCACAAATCGGTAGTAAGCGACATTATAGCGCACTTATCGCCTAAAAGCACATAACCAGTGCTCGCATCACCAATTGGGCGTTTCACTTCCCAGATTCAGTTTCCACACTATCGTTTTCCTCACCGAGGGCCCTTGTTCGCACCAGCTTTTGAATTAGGGATTTTCGACAACATGCGCCCAAATCTTCTTCATTGCTGAATGGAAAACCGCAATGTATTGCCAGAACTGCCTCTCACTCACTCCCTATTAAGAGGAGTTTTGAAAATCGGAAGAGTTAAATCCTTTTGTTACTAATGTTAAGTGTCTGATCCAGACTAGAAACAGTTACCTTCTTCACCAGCCAGCATCAACGAAAGCTCCTGTTTGCTTTTCTCTGAAAAGGCCATTAACATGGTATATGGTGAATAGTGCCTACTCAACTTTGCGCGAATTCCCATATCCCATTTCTTTTTGTGTGACTTGAAAAAAGGGAAAATATTATCAGAGTATGTACCTCATATGAGACAAGGCATTTTCACCATAGTGATGTTGTCTTATCACATGTTAACATTCTTAACCATGAACCACGTTTCCACGTTCAATTGGAATTTGAATGACGGTCAAAAATGAACAATCGGATCTTTTTGTTCTCTCCTGTTTTCTAACCAGCATCCCACTTTCTCATCGCTTTGGGACAAGCACAGATGCTAATTAACCTCTCTACAATTGAATCTATTACTTCAGTTTTATCGAAATATGAGTCAGGTTACTTTAAGGGGAGACCTCCTCAAATATTGGATGTCCTATATTAACGTGTGCCCTACGTGATTGATCAGTGCAATGATTCGAAGGCTCTTTTATGATGATTCAAATAAGACCTGCTTACTTTATGTGCGTAATCCGGGAGCTTGGAGTCGCCCAACTCTCGTATACGAGGCTCGGTCGGTTCGCAAGCGTACTGTGGTGGTTCAGTGAGCATTTCCACTGTAAAAGTGAGAAAAAGGAAGAAGTTAAGTGCAGAACATGAATACTGCTTGGTTCATACACGCGTACATTATATTTTTATGGGGGATGAGCTGGTCATGAAAACCGCATCTTTGTAAATATCTCTCAGTTGAGATTCTCGCCATTATTTCTAAAATGTATTTCAGTTGTTCTGATTGGCGATTCTGGTGTTGGAAAGTCCAATTTACTTTCTCGCTTTTCACGAAACTCTTTTAACTTGGAATCGAAGACAACCATAGGAGTGGAGTTCGCCACAAGAACTATAGAGGTAAAGTTCGAAGACTACCACGAAATCTTAGTTTAGTCAACTATTATGGAGAATTCAGGAGTGTAAAGGGAGAGAGAGAAAATAAGGAATGTTCGTTGATCCCATCGATTATCAAGTGACGATAGTGGCAGCTGGGAGGTGATATGAGAGTGTCTTGTAGGCACTTGAACCTTTGTAAACTCATCCTGAGCTTATAGATCTGGAACAAGTGGAACTAATGGAACACTGAATACGGTCTTTTGTTGACTTCAAGCAAGTTCAGATTACCATTTATGCATATATCTCCTGTCGCGTCGAACATGTCCAGTTTCATTCTACATCTGTAGGACCGTCTTGATCGCTTGGCCGATTTCCGTTGAATCACTCGGAATGATGGTCAGACAGCGTTAGATTGGTGAGGGACTATACATGCTCGACATGCTCCACACCTTCTGTCAGCAGGCTCAGTAGACCTTGCGGCCTGGCGTCCCCGCCACACTCTTACGGATTTTGCTACCGTAACAGTACACTGGGAGATACCCGCCCAGCGGCAAGTACTCTCCATGCGCTGGACAAGCGGTTGCCCTGTATCTGCGAAGTGTGTCGCGTGTGGCCTGTAAGAAGAAACCCAGTGAATGAACATGAAACTAAGACTAGTCCAAAAAACTAGAGCAATAAATACAAAATATAGATAACTTTTCTGAACCTACCGTCGGACAAGAGAAAGAGCCCCGACATAGCCCTGCTCAGGCTGTGTCGGAACACCCGAGCCTCCGAATCTCTTACAATACTCCGACACTCAGATCGACCCGTGGAGACTGTGCGTTAGGCTCGAAGGTTTCTGCGATGTTAAGGCTATAAAGTGCCTCCGCAGGTCTGTCGCGATAATAGAATGCGATATTGTGCGGGTACAGACACCAACTCTGCAAAACTATTCAAACACGGGATTCGGTGACTGCGGGCAAGCTGGATCCAGATGGTTACCTCCGCACCTTAGCATTATCCTTTGTCCGAATCTTATCACTAAAACATAGGACCACATGCGATACTACTCCATCAGCTCCGTTGCGGCCCTGTACGCAAATGAGTGAATCAGCCCGCCTTTGAAAACTTACCTCTCAAAAGTAGACGGAGAAACCCTCGTGCGCGGGTGCCTCCGCAAGAACGGGATGTGACCTCGAAAATCGCCTGCAAGAGTGAAATCGAAAAATCGTTAACGTGCTTTGCGGTATTGCTCCTTGAGCGGAAAATCAAGCGCTCCAAAAGCCTCGCGCATCCATCTTCGCTAAGCAGTAAGACTAACAGCCTTGCCATCTCTAGTATAACTGCCTGCGCTGCTCTCGTTCCTCACGATCTTGCTTTCGAGCAATCCTAACTATACCTTCGCCGCATCTGTACCATCCCCCACCCGCGCGAAGTGATGGGTTCATCCTCTTCGTTTTCCAATGGATGATGTCTCAACCCCGGTCCCAAGGAGTTACTACGCATCGGCGGGGNNNCCCACGCTCCCTTTGAAGGGATTAGTCGCCCATGAATGTCTGATGACCTGCCACTGGGTGAACTATATGGCCCTAATCCACTCCCGGCTCCCTTCAAAAAGAACAAGACATGAGGCATAAACTGAGGATCAAGATATTCGACGATTGTACGCCTTATAGAAGTCATAAGGTTATCATTATAAGTTTAATGGCAATAAACACATTATAAAAACAACTGTGCATTACAAAGGACATATAAAAAGGAGGCAATTTAAGAGAAAAGAGAGGAGAGTAAGAAAAGAACGGTCGGCAAAACTGAAGAAGAAGAATGACATACTTGAGCTCAAAAAAGTGCATGAATCACTTCTCTCAACGCTGCTGCGTAAAAGGAAAGCGCGGGTTGAGTGAAGTGTGAGAGGGAATGGATATGAAATGAAAAAATTACAAAGTACAATAAACACCCCAAAGAAAAAACTGAATGAATGATAAACACTTTACACATGCGACAATGCATAGTTCTTAATCAAATAACATTCAACACGTTGACGACGATGTCGGTCGATGGATACAGACAGTACTGCAAGTCAGTCAAATGGAGAGAAGCTCAGGTCTTTCGTAGTTCAGCCAAATAGAGAGAAGCTCAGCTCTTTCGTAATAAGTTTTACATTTGCTTATTGATTCGTTAACTTTATAATCCTTCTAACTTTATGGTTTTTACAAGTATTAAGTATCAAGTGAGGGGTCATACTTCATATCAAATCACAATTAGAAAACTAACACAATTGAACATTTACCACACCGCAACACATTTACCAGTCATTTACCAGTCTAACAACTATGGACATTTTGAGAAATTCATGCAGCAAAACTAATCGTACTTATCACACCTTGTTCTGGCTTCTGGCAGTATTTCTAGCCGCTGCTGTGCAATGGGGCTTGATATGAGGCTGTAGCATTCTCTACAAAATCTTCTATCTTTTGGCTTCATTTGATAGTCAAAAACAGGCTGTCTTCTGGATGTCGGCCTATTCGTGGGAGCTGGTGCTGTGATATCATAGATTCGAGTATCGACAATCAATTTCTTTTTTTACAATAGAGGAAGCAAGCATCAACCAGAGCCGTTTGGGTGATCAGATGATAAAATAGTCTGCCGTATCATTTGCTTGTTTTTCTCAGATAGAGCGTGTAAGCGGCCATCTGATCATCAAAATCCATAAACTCTTTCATCACGTTGTAGTAGGCAACGACAACAGGTTTCCCATCAGGCTGATATCTTGCATTGTGTTAGGTAGAAAGCACATAGATAAATCTTCTATCCCTCCTCTACAGCAACAGCACTCCCTTCTGGTTTCGCTGACGGGAATGTTCACCATGTTTCAGCTTTTTGTCTCTCAGTGGTGAAGATAGACCTTTATGATTCCTTCTCGAAATGCCTACCAAGTTGGTACCCTCTTCAGAAGTCTGTGGGCTAATGGTAAGTTTATGTATCACTTGTCAATGCACAAACACCTGTTCTGCTCCAAAAATCTGGCTATAAGATCCAACACAACGGTTTCAGTAACTGTTCTCGTTCTCTTTGGATCCCTCCGGGCGTAAAACCTTCAGCGAGTAATTTGCTCTGGAACATGACTTGAACAGTTTGATCCTTAACGTGTGTCTCTTGGCACCGCTATACTGCCAAAAGGAGACTCGCACCATAGACTCATAAATGCACAACTCCTCCGGTTCATATAGGTTCTGAACTGTACCATTCGAGTAGTTCAAAATAGGCTGTTATGGGCAATGTTATTATACTTCTGTCTGCATTGTATTATCAGCATTATAAAGGTTTCGTTGTAACTGCTCTAACCGTTCTCTCACCATAATGTCACCTGCAATAAAATGCTCATTTCTGGCTAGATTTCTATCTTTTAGTGATCTGTACTTCCACTAGTTGTCTAAGGGGCATCGCGACATTCGCAAGCGTAGACCAAGAAATCTTTTAAGTTCCCCAGTATCTGTCTCTTTCCACGGACTACTCTTCTGATGGGCACATATATTCGTTTGTGTCGCAACCATCTTTAGCATATCCCCGGAAAGGAAAGGTCAGTAAAAAACGAGAGGGGTTCCACAGAATTCCACATTTTGATGTACCATTGACGGCTCGTTGAAAATCCATCTATCATTCGAAACAGCATCGTCAGTCCAGGTATTATCTTCCCATTTACTGTCGCGATCGTATTCGTCAGTCATCTGTATCAAAGTTTTCTTCATCCCGCACAACCGCAGGAACAAGTCAGTCTTCTTCCTCAGGTTCATAGAAGTCTTCAGCGTCGCTTTTGAGCAGTGTCGCCAAAACGTCTCAGCAGGACATCAGCATCATCGACCATAGAACCCACAATGACGATATTAAGACCCCGGAAGTATCAGGTATTATTGTTATGCACAACCAATTTGGACTTGACCCAACAATGGACGCCTTCGCTCTAGTCTTGTTCACGCGAAGCGTTTAAATGGTAACTTCTATGAAGGTGCGACATGCGCCCTTCAAAGCTTCATTCACCTCATTTTCATTTTTTGATTTTGGAATATTACCATTTCTTTTTTGGTTTCTAGAAATTCCCATTTACTTCGCATTCTTCATGAATAAACGAAACATGGTGACTATCCCGTGGGTCGGTCGATGTTGACCGATATCATTTAACGGGACAGTCACCATATTTAGTCACCGTTTTAAAACGGTTTTGTCCCGTGAACGCGCAAACGAAAGCGCTCTCGTCGACGTTAACTTTAAATGGAAAAGCAGACCTGACTGGTCCGGCTGCTATGTCGTCATGAAAGCTATATTACGAAGTCTTCGGGCATTAGTCGATCCTGTGGGTGCATGGGATGTACACCCGCTCGACTTCCATTCAGAATCATAGTGACTTATTAATTGCGTATATGACTTCACTACGAATTGTGGCGGCCAGCCGATGTAAGAGACAGTCGCTATGTAACCAGGTAGGCTTGGTCACTAGTGGCTATCAATCTGAATTTGAACCCGTGATAGTGGTTTGTGCGTATCTTGCCAATATACTATCTGCCAATATCATGATTGAATAAAGAAATAAACGGCAAAATACCGATATACGGATACAACAGGTGCCGTTTACGATTTGAAGCTATTACCACATGCGTTATCTCGCCCTGTTGGCCTGTTGCGAAATCCGCAAAAGTTTCGTGACCAAATATTCTCCGCTTGCGCTGGACGGTTGCGCACGCGGCGCGCAAGTGCTCGAGCAGCTTTTGCGTCCTGATTCGCTGCGGAAGCGTAAAAGCGTGACTGTGAGCAAGTATTTCTCAGCATTGCATCGAAAAACAAATGATCATGTCGGCTGGGAATTCTACCGCAACTTTTTTACTACTCGTAGGTAGCAATGTCATAGTAAATTGACGTCGTTTCGTCTTTCTCAGACTTTTGCGGAAATAGTTTTTTGCGTGTAAATATTCTGATTTGTTTCCGCTATTCCGACAAGCTGTTCCTTACCAGCTACCTTCTCAGAGAAACAAGCAAAGATCCACGATCCATCCACAATCCATAAGGAAACAACCCTCAGCACAGCATTTGCTTTGATAACATGGAAGTTTTGATAACTGGGGACAAATGAAATAACACTAATCTTCAGATAGATGGCAAATTGATAAAGGCCCAGATATGGGACACGGCAGGTCAGGAGCGATATCGAGCGATAACGTCAGCTTATTATAGAGGAGCAGTCGGAGCACTTCTCGTATATGATATATGTATGTGAGTCTACCTTTATGAAACTGTATGAAATCCGAACTACCATAATGAATCACGTTATGTATTTTTGTTTAGCAAAAATGCAAACTCTGGAGTCGTGTGAGCGATGGCTGCGAGAACTGCGTGAGTTCTCGAACGAGAGCGTGTCAGTGATGTTGGTCGGCAACAAGCTAGATCTGCGACATTTTCGAGCTGTTCCCACTGATGTTGCATTGCAGTTCGCCGAGAAGCATCAGCTGGCCTTTATAGGTCAGTTGTCCACCAGTGTGTTTGGCTGATGTTCCAATTAATCCATCCAAAAGAGGACTAAGCATATCGACTGAAACGTTCGCCGAGTAAGTAAACAAACTTTTTGAATTTCTTGAGAAGTACATATATCTCCCTGAAAAATTCTCGACTCGTTACCGTCTCTGTGCTCATCATGGTCTACATATATCAGTGGACTTTACTAGTCCAAGCCGATCTCAATTTCAAAGTCGAGTTTTGCAACAAAAAACCATACCTAACCCTTGCTGAAACAAGTGACTTATCGTTTATGCAAATGAAAATCATACAGTAGTAAGTGTAAATTTCTATTGAAAAGCCCTGATCTAGTTGAAAGTCTTTGTTCCAGAGACATCTGCCTTGGACAGCACAAATGTCAACGAAGCCTTCACAGAAATTCTCACTCATATCTACAAGACAGTTTCTAGTCGCCATGTCAACGTAAACTACGATTTAACGTCGTCGAAGGTCGACATCACAGCAGCTGCAAAACCCAGCAGAAAATGTTGCCCCAAATAAATTTATTCTAAAAGCAGCCGAGTTGAATCAAGCTTTTTCTCTTGTTCAAGGTAGTAGACATCTTATTTCAATGTTGTTCCAAAATACTGCTGTTCTAAAGTCTATAGGCTAGAGTGTGGTGAGGCATTCTGGAATTGCTATTGTGTTTTTGAAATTTTTGGTCAAATTTTATGCCTGATAAGTTAGTGACAGAGAATTGTAAAATTCAAATGCTCAGGGCGATTACGTGCACGAGTGTATAAATTCCAAAAGGCACTTTTGATGATTATGCAAATACTGGGCATTCGGACAGGCTCTCAATGCAGTCTACCTCGACAGTTTTCCAACCCTATGAGATTCTATCCCACAGGGCCCTACATGATAGTCAAGAGACCCCTAAATTCTGGTATCAAGAAATTTCTAGCCAATTCTTCATACCGCTCAGATAAACAGGTCTGTCAAAGTAGAGCCGTCCTATCGGTCGGAGTTCCGATCATGTCGTCATCGTCAAAACTGAAAGAGTCTAGAAACTCTTGATACGTGGCTCACCTGGTCAAGCCCCCAACGCACTAGAAAGTCTACAAGAAGGAATGAACGGTAGGAGGTCAATCAAGAGTAGAGAGAAGTCTTCAACGGATATTTCCTGACAACGGTTGCATGGCTTGACTTTTTCCTCGATATCTTTGTTGACGTTGATCCAGTATGATAACCTCTGCCTGGTATCTTCGTCCTCGACATCTCAAGCCAAGACGGCCATCATGTAAACATGTGAGAATAGCGGCTGTAGGCTTTACGATAGTCGTCGTCCACCCAGAGGTAGTTTGTCCAGTAGTCCGCGGACTTGGCCCATTTGATGACGTCGGCGCCATAATAGTTTGGTAGTCCCAGGAACATCTTTTTAGTCTCATGAAATGGAGACGCGGCATAATGTGCCTTCTGTCTTGTTGAAGTCGTCTAAGAATGTGGAGTAATCCGAGCTCGAGCGCAGAGTCTCATTTGCCTTCCTCACCATGACGATAGATGCAGCCCACTTCGAATGGGTGACAAGAAAAAATACATCCTCTGTCAGTAAATAATCAATCTCCTCGTCCAGAGTGGCGACATAAGTGTACAGTATGGGCATTTTTGCCCCAATTTTAATAATGTCATTTTGCAGTTTCGGTGTTGCCCTGGAAGTAGTGCCCCTGAGGTCTGCTGTGAATACGTGTGCAAACTTCGTTTTTTAGTTGGCAGCTTTGGCACCTCGGAAGGCAGAGATAAACACATGCAATCGTCCGATTAATTCGATACTTCCTGACTGCCTGGACAGCTCTAGCAGTTGCTTGTTCTTGGTACTCAAAAGACATTGCAGCTCCGCGAATCAGCTTCCTTTTCCATGAAGCGTCCCCTAGATGAATTTTCGACCGTTAGGATAGTCTCGAAGGATGAATATTGGGTTCCATTGGCTACATATCAAGCAATGTCTGTGCTGTGGAGATGAGTCGCTTTCAGCAGTTCTCACTTAGTTCTGTAAATCATACTAATTTTGCACAAGTGCACTAGTACAGGCTATATTGGATCAACGTTTATGATGACGTCTAAGTATAGGTGGTCTCCCTCTCAAAAGCGGCTATGACGCGGTCGAAATGATGACGCCGGCGGTGGTGAGGTACAGTCTACCTTACGGCATTGCTCATTCGGCTCAAATTGAAATTGCTGTTGTCACAGCTTCAACATTCTCTTGCTCCGAAACCGCTTCTTCTGCTGAAATTGATTGCCGGATCCCCTACGGGCATTCCTGCGTCTTCCTTATAGTATTACAAGGAAAACACAGCTGTTGGACTCCTGACGAATTGGAAATTAGGCACTTTCAAATCTCACTCCACAAAAGTTCAGACGGCCGTTTAGGAGCAATCGATGCGCTGAATCGAAAAGTCTTCCGTTCGAGTTCTACGCCCTAGTTGTCGAATAGATCTTCTGAGTTTTTTTTTTTGAAGTTGCGGCCTCGGTCTGGATCGTAGATGAGTTTCTCGTTTAGTCGGCATAGTGAGTTGAAGATTGCATGATTGGTCTTGGTGATGACAAGAACAGTGCTAGCAGACGATGTAGACATTTTCTTCGTGAGTTGCACTATAACGGTTCGTTAGAGCTCCAGTTGCTTCTACACAGCATGAAAAACAGATTCAAGAATTCATCTTCTTGAGTTCTTGAGATCCTGATTGCCAGTGTTAGTCGTTGAACTACAGATAAAGAGAAGGTCTATTACGAAACGAGGAAATGGGCAACCCAGACCCTTTTTACGGGATGACATCGAGCTGATATCATCCGCGGAGCGATATGAAGAGCAGGGTCGGAGTCAGGAGCACAACAGTTGCAAAGCGAAGAAACCAACAGGAGCGTTTAGGAATTGAATTTGTTGTTGAAAGTTATGATATGTGAAGTGAGGAAGATAAATGTGCGTACAAGACCTCCTCAAATTCTATGCAGTATGTGATTCACATTAAATGCTGCTATCAAATCGTTTGTCAAAATTACACACACCTAATTGCTTTGCAAGACTTTATATGAAGGCACATTTTCCAATAACGAAGCTTGACTTCTGCTTCCCTGTGTAATAAAGTGTTTTTTGTATGCAAGAGTTACATGTATGTACATACCAATCAGTTTTAATGTCGATGCTTGCGATCATCCTTAAATACTCATGTGCACTTACGAACATTGCTTGTTTTTCAAGATTAAAGAGCGACTGGATTACTCCTCCAAAATGTTCTGGACTGAACTTATCGGGACTCCAGGTAAATACTAGAACAAATACTAGTTAGCTGTTCAGCCTTTCACACGAAAGTTCGACCCTTCATCTCCTTGAAAACTCATAGAAATACGAAGTGTGGATAACTCATGATCTAAGTGCCCAGTGACTCCAAATGAGTAGCGGTATCTCTTGTACTTCTTCACATTCCGATGGACCTTCGTCTAGCTCGATAACCAGCAATGTGTTGCCTTCGTGAACCACGCAACGAAGGGCTGGCGGCTAAAAAGCGGAGAACGTAGCATTCCGAACAAATTTGATATGCTTTCCAAATTGTTTCTCCACAACCGAATACATTATCTGGAGCATTTGGGACTCCAATGAACCAGGAAGTTTCTGATTCATAAACACTGCTCATGTGAGATTCCAAAAGAACACTGATCGTAATTTTTCGAGGTGCCACACGTGGCATGAGTTTTTTTTTCAAAATGGACACTTTCCTTTGAAATTCAAAATCATGATGTTAACCATTTAAAAGGTATCCGTCTGCACCACGCGGTAAATACATGTATCGTTACAAGATTCATTATAGTTCAGATTAAATTTCATCTTCCAAGTAGGAGGCCAAGTGGAGCCGACCAAAACTGAGCGAATCGTAAGCCCACTTTAACTACATAACACTAAAGAAAATTTTTTGAAGATTGGTATTTCCATCAGAGTTTGAAACTGTGATAAGTAGATAACTCCGATGGAAGATAACGTGGAAAATAGTGCGACGAAGGCGAAGAAATTGTGTGAAACGGAAGTGATAAAAGGCTCCGGAAAAAACGTTAAAAAGGCGGCTCGACGAGAAGAAGACCAAAAAATGAAAAAGGATTGGTATTCGAACCTCACGTTATGGGTCCTGGTGCGAATAGCTGACTACAGTGAACAAAAATTTTCTTTGAAATTCACTCACTCATAAACACAACTTAAGAAACGCTAGTAACAGCAAAAAATAGCCCACCTTTTTCAGCCTCTTGGTTTAGATATCAAACAAAGGATCGCACGAATGTTGCAATGTGTATCGCCTCGACACTCGTCTGACGTGGCATCGATGGAGGGGCGGGGCATCCGGGCGATCCGGCGACGGGGCTCCCACTATGCCCTAGCTGTTGAGTTTTTGAACCCGACAGCGTCGCTCCCGTTACCCTTGAGGCCACTGAGTATTAATACGGGAAGAACTCAGAAACCATTTTCATCGTGAACACTGTCTTTAAAATAAAGGACTGGAAAAGCAGCAAGAGGGGCGTATAGTGCAGTAATGCAGCAAAATATAATAGTACTTTTTCGGGCCCAACAATGGCCCATGAACTATTCTTGGCGGCCACAAATTCGTTTTCGCAGCGGGAAATCTCAGAAAGCAATTTTTCGTAAAATGGACGTTTAAGTGTATTACAACATCACTGAAATGCATAGAAGCTTATACAACGTAAACCATGTACAGCACTTATGTAACAGCACAACAGTTTTGGTGCTTTAAGCTCATCAAGGCTTGAAATCTTTCACGCGATGGGTGAAAATAACTACAGTGAATAATAGTGTTACAGCCACCCCTAATTTCCCCGAAATCCAACAGCATACGATGTCTCTGAAAAAGTGCCAAAGTAAAGAATGTGTCAAATTGAATTGCAATTCGTAAATTATCACCAAATTTCAGCTCGGAAACACAAACATTTTTTTGATAAATTTTTCAGTAAGGGTGCTTTTCCACCGTCTCCAAGTGATATAGCTACTTCATGTCTTCGTTTCCTGTTTTAGTTCAACGCAACGAAATTGCTTTGTTTATGTAATGTTCTCCATTTAATGTTCTCCATTTTCAGGCAATAGGAAGAGGAAGGTTGCTTTTGGAATTCGAGGAAGGTAAACTCTCGCGAAAAAGGAGCAAGGACTGCCGAATAGCAGATCGCGCGAGACTTTTGTCGATGTCACGCAGTTATGGATAGTTTCATCAAGAATCCTGAAGCCTATGGAACCAGAAGAAGTGCTGGTAGTCGTTCGCTGCTTCCAACAGAGAGATGCGCCGTACTTTGAGGGAAGCGTCGAACTCCACCAGGTCTTGTATGGAAATCCGATCGTCTCCAAAACCTCAATGTCTCAAAAAACACTGTTTGGAAGGTGATCGGAAGGTCCAAGTTCATCGTCTAGAAATGCGTAAGGCGCTCGTCATGACAAAAAGACATCGAGAAAATGAGGTCGCCTCCGCCAGAAGGTGCAGCCGAACCGAGTGGAATAAGGTGTTCTTCAGGTGCTG